AAAAAAAATCCTATAGTATAAAAGTGCTCGTTAGCAAAAATTGACACTGATCAAATTAAAATAACAATAAACGAATTAAGGAAATGTTCATTTACAAAGCTAACAGTCTGAGGTCATGTGATGTGACATCACTCACCGCGCTGACGAATCCGCTCGCCACCGCCGCGTTCTCCACCCCGTCCACCGCGGCCTGGGCCACCTCGTTGGCCCCGGAGACGGCGGTGTCGGCCACGACGTTGGCCTGCTCGGTGGACTTCTGGGCCACTACAACCAGAAACGTGGGTTTTTTTTAATCACTTACATTTGAAATTAAAACCCTGGCTGATGGTGGCGATACTGAACTCATAAATAATGCCGATACCTCAGATGTGTTGAATTTTATTTATAATATTTGTCAGAACTGAGATCATTTGTTTTATTTACTGATCCTGTGAAGCGTTCATACTGACTATGGCTGATCAATCATTATCACTGTTTGTAATAATCAATGTGAGCAAAAGATTCTTCCAGGAAAAACATTTTAAACCTCCCTTAAGCTTAATCTGAATAAACTCGTTAAGGAACAGACGAGGAGGCCAATTACCTGCAAAATTAGATTTCACGAGCCTTGTTTTTTTGGGGCTGTTCTGTTTTAAATTACAATCAACGCTTAGAGCGGTTTTATTTTAGCTTTACTCTATAAGAAGCTTTCTGGGGATTCGGTGTACATCTGTCACGTGCATGTTTATCCTCGTTTAGCTTTGAACATCTAATACAGCTGTAGTAGGAGCTGTTTGCTTTTTTTGTGATGATGCCAGTAATTATTTCTTCTCCTTTGTACTCATTACGGGTGTGTTCGTTAGTTTACCTGTGTTAACGCCGGTCACCATTCCCTCCATCGTCTTGTTTCCTGGAGAAAGATGAACGAACAAAACATTACAATTCCACCAACAAAATGTAAATCAGACATGAGGACATGTGTTCTAAATTCTCAGGAGCTTTTATTGACTGTTTTGAATTTGACAGACATGTTATTAATATTATTGTACTGACTTACTCTCTGTTTTGTCATTTTCATCCCAACTGCCGTTAAATTCAAAACTTCTCATGAATGACTAAACAAGTCCCAACATGTGAATGAAAACAGTATTTCCGGCTCTTTAATCAAACATGTATGCGTTCGTTGTAGCTGCTGTTCGTTTACCAGCTGTTCTTGAGGTTTTATGCTATAAAATCAGCCCAAACTGGAAGATCTCAGTCCTGAAATGAAACAAGGTTCAAGCTGAGTTTACCTGCATCTCCTCCGAACCAACATCTGTTAGCAGCTGTTCAGGGTGAGTATGACTCTGGATCTGACCTGGTTTCTTCTGCAGAGACCTGAATTATTCATTCATGTCACCTGGTTCACACCGAGGCAGCCAGCCGCCCTCTGTGTGAAGCCCACCCTGTCCTCGTTTTATCCTCTTTCTTAAGATTTAGAGACGGAGTCCAGCGCGGGTCAGATCAGGTAACGGTCCAGTGGACATTAGAGGAACTGCAGCTGGTTGCACCACTCAGCCTTCCTCTTGTTGTTCGTTGGTCCCGATCCAGATTCGGGGATATAACTCAGCCAGTGGGCGTCGTGCTGGTGGGACATGTGACGGGTCCGACTGAACGGACTCTTTGTCCGACCGAACACAGTCTGTGATTCACCGTCGGCTGATGTGGCAGCACAGAAACACACTGTGTGGAGCCTCAGCAGCTGTTTCCCGACAGGACTCGAGTGATGTTTGAACTGAAGCTGCTCGTTAAACCAGACTTAGAGCTGCATACGATGCATATTTAATGAGGCTGCAGGTTTGTCTTTTCTGTCCGACAACAATAAAAGAAATATTGTGTTTTAAGCCCCTCGACCCAAAGCAATTGATGCATTGGTGTTTTTTTGCTACCGTCACATTTCCACTCACTGTGGGCTCGTTTTTCTCTGCATTATAAAGTCCTGCACCTCCATGGAAACAACACAACCATGGCTGAAGGCAGAAGGAACTCAGACACGTCTTTTGTGCAGTTGCAATGCCTTAAAGTTGAATTTTTGGCGATTACTTTATGAAAATTGAAAAAAAAAAAAAGGAGAAGCTTGGAATCAACATGTAGAACATTTTTCCAAGTGTCTCCAGATTTCACCAACACTGGACAATAAAACAGACGCTCCACATGCTCCACATATTTACTGTTTGTATTTTAGCAAACGATTCATTTCTCACATTTTTATACGATATGCATCTTCCAACCACCTGGTCCTCTGTTTACTGTTTCTGAGCCATGCTACATTTATTTTATTAATCCAGTATGTTTTATTGTCTTCTTAGTCTCTCTTGTCGTCTCTTCTCTGCTCTGTGTAAACAGTCTGGATTTAGGCTTGTGAGGGAAAACTCATTTTGTCACAAGACTGTTGGTCACAGTTCAGACCTCAAACGTAGTGAATTTAATCGTCTGTTTTCTCCTAAACGGGACCATCATTTACAAAATAAACATCACACTGTATTGAGGGAGACCCATAACTAGTGGTTGAGACCATAAAGTCATTAGGAAAATGTTTCCTGGGGGAACAAATCGATTGTGAAGTCGGGTCATTTTCTCACAGACGTCTGTACAGTCGACCTGCCCTCTACTGGCCGTTAAAGAGAATGCAGCCACTTTTGTGCTGGTTTTACTTTTCAGACCTTTTCTTCCGGTTTCTGTTTTGTTCGGAAAATCAGGTCACGATTCTGCCGTGGCACATGACGTCCACCAGTGACTCGTCCACAAGCTTCAGCTTCACAGACATGAAGCATTTCTCAAATTAGTCCCTGTAAGAATGAGATCCTTTTACCCATCTTACTCAACAGGAAGTGAGATATTTTAGGACTTTCCGACACTGGGACTTTTTCTGTGGATTAAACAATGAGTTGATGCATTTAGACAATAATTTGCAGATTAATTGGTATTCAAAATAGGTGTTAATTGCAGCCTTAGAGGGAATCTTCACATCGACACTGAGTCTTCCTGATCAGGCTAACAGAGAGTCAGATATTCAGCCAGCAAGAACTAACTAAACTGTCAGTCACTACTGTTCCTATGGTAACAACTAGCATTGCTACGCTAGTATTTAGGCATGCTGAAGCTAGTCATTAGATCGTTTATATACAGTCTTAGTTCTTGTGGAAAAGATCGCATGTTGATAAAAGCAAAAAGTGACAAAGCACAACAGGAACGGTATAAAATAACAGAACAAAACAGAGGAAACTAAACTCTCTCTGACTGCTAACATTTTTCCTGAAAGTTTACCCCAAGCTAAATGCAAATCCAGCTCCCATCACCTGTTCTTTGGCTTCAACCTCATTGTTTTTAGGTGGTGGTGAAGAGTCGTAGCTAAGAGGTGACACAAAAATAAATTACTCACTGTTTATATAATATAATGCAGCATTACAGCAGCATACACATCAAAATAGTCCAAGATAATAATGGGTGTAACGGTAGAAGGATGTCTCAGTTACAGGTATAAACTTAATTCATACAGAGATAGTACACCGACTTTAGCCAGCAGATGGCACCATTTTGACTGTATTTAATATATTAGCTACTGTCAGAAAGCTGCCTTTGTTATATAATCTCTGAGCTGCTGTTTGGACCTACTTTACGTCGTTAAACCTGAGATTATCTTTGAATACTTTGATTTTGCCTCTTTATTGATTTTTTTTCTCAGCTTTAACAGGCGGATCAATGAAGGTGATTGATAAACACTGAGCTGTGATCCATCCATCCATCACCAGTCGACAGTACAGGTGAGAGTAAAACACAACAACAAGCGACCCAACGGGACATGGCATCACTTCCTGTGGGCCACCGAGTGTGTCGCCATGGCAACAAAGCATAAACAGAGCACACACAAGGTGAGGCCTGGTTTTCAACTCATTTCTTAAAAAGCTGCCGTGTGATCAACGTATACTGATCAGTAGAAGTGACGATGCAGCGTGTTAATGATAACTTATCGTTATTGAGCTTTGTACGGAGTTTTAACTCAGTATTTATCTGCTGTTGGACTCAGATATGTACCTTGGGAGATTTTCAAGACCAAACATGGAGCTAAAAGTCAAATAAAATAGAAATCTGGTCCAGAATTCAAAAACGCAGTGCGGCTTTAGCAGCTACAGAGGAAGATATTTACCTTGGGAGATGGTGGAGACCAAACATGGAGCTAAAAGGGAGTGAATGCTATAATAGACTTTGATTTTAACAAATACATCAGCACAGTTAGCTACTAAGACGCCATAAATGAACTCTGGACATGGTGGAGACCAAACGTGAAAGAACAGAGTAGGAAAACTGGACTGGACTTAGCATTTCATCCAACACAGTGGAGCATTTGACAGTCAGATATTTACCTCTGGAGATGGTGGAGACCAAACATGGAGCTAAAAGGGAGTGAATGCTAATAAAGACTTTGATTTTATCAAATACGTCGGCACATTTAGCTACTAAGACGTCATAAATGAACTCTGGAGACCAAACATGGAGCTAACCGAGTATGAAAACTGGACTGGACGTTTGGCAGCTAGACATTTACCTCTGGAGGTGGTGGAGACCAAACATGGAGCTAAAAAGAGTGTAGCATTGTATCATATAAAGTGGAGCATCTAGCATGTAAAGAACCAAATACTGCTCTTGGGAGATGGTGGAGACCAAACACAGAGCTCGAAGGCTGTAAAGACTGGATTAGATTTCCATTTTATCAGACCTGGTGGAGAATGAAGCTGCTACAGATCCAGATATTTCCCTCAGGACCAGGTGGAGACCAAACATGGAGCTAAAAGAGAGAAAACACTGGGCGAGACTTCCATTATGTGAAACGGATCCATCCACACTGAAACCTGAAACCGACTTAGATGTTGTGAACTCTTTCACAACCTTCTGGTTTCACCAACACTGTGAGCAAACTGTGTCCAGGGTGTAAAACCTGGACCGAACATTGATGGTTTGATCCCGTGTGGACAGAAATCATGTGGTCCACATCTTCTATGCATCTGTTCATCTTTGTTTCTGCTCCAGATGTTCACATCTTCAGATTGAATGCAGATCATCCTCCGCCTCTTGTCGTTCTTCTCTCTTTATTCTGATTTAAATATTTTATAATCCAGCTGCCTGTCCTCCGTCGCTCCCTCCCTTTATTTATTCCTGTGTTGAACTTCACTCCACCCATCTCTCGGTCATTTTCCACTTTAAAAAACACCAAATTTCTGGAACTTTGATGTGAAATTTAGCTTATTGAGGCCAGTTTCTCTTCATTTAACCTCCATTGTTCATCCTTCGTTCCTTGTTTTTGCTCCACATGGGCGTCCACGTCTTCAAATCCAATACGTGAGGATGAATTGCACTTTTTCTTTTCCACCGTCTTCTTCTTCTTCTATCGTCTCTTTTATGATTTAAATATTTTAAGATTCAGCTTCTTGTCCTCCATCTGCCACTCCGTTCTTCATCCCGTCTGTATTTTAGTCTCGGTGCTGAATTTCACTCGTCCTCCAACCATCCCTTCTTCATTTTACACCAAAAAACTAAAAATTTCAAGAAATTTGAAGTAAAATTTTGCCCAGTTTCTCTCCTTCTGTCTTCATCCATCATTTCTTCTTTTATTTCTCTCACAAATAACCTTCAAACTGTCTAATCGATCGTGATGAATCACACTTTTTCTTTCCTCGTCTTTCTTTTTTTCGGATTTAAATAATTCAAGATTTAGCTTCTTGTCCTCCGTCTTCACTTCCTCCCGTGATTTATTTATTTCCTGTCTTGTTGTTATATTTCACTCGTTCATTTTCCATCAAATAAAAACTAAAACTTCTAGAAATTTAACATCTTCTTTATCAGTTTGTCTCCTGCAGCTCTTCCTCCACCCATCCCTTTATCCCTCCATCTTTTCCTTCGTCCTTTCTTGCGTCCGACCTCCACGTTCGCTGCACGTCAGGATGAATTGCACTTTTCCTCCTCCGCCTCCCTTCCATCGTCTTTTTTCTGATTTGAATAATTTAAGATTCAGCTTCTCGTCCTCCATCCATCACTGCTTCATCCCTCCATCCCTCCTTTTATTTCTTCCTGGTTTGGTGTTGAGTTTCACCCTCCACCCATCTCCCACTCATTTTCCATCAACAGTTTTGGAAGTTTGATATGAAGTTTAACTGCTTTTGGCCTCTTTCCTCTGTTTCCACTCCTCCTCCTCCTCCTCTCTCTGTTCATCTCCATCCTTTCTTCAATCCTGCTTTTTTCCTCCCCGTCTATCATCCTCCTGATTTAAATATTCTGATTTAGCTTCTTGTCTTGATTTTGCTGATTTTCATTCGTCCTTCTGCCTCCTTTCGTTCATTTTCTACCCAAATAAACCCACAAATTGGCAAAAACTTGATATGAAATTGAACTTTTCTTCACCAGTTTCTCCTCCTCTCTCTCTCTCTCCCTCCTTCATCTCTCCATCCTTCATCTCTCCCTCCTTCATCTCTCCCTCCTTCATCTCTCCCTCCTTCATCTCTCCCTCCTCCATCTCTCCATCCTTTCCTTCCTCATCCGTTCCTGCTCTGAACGTCCCACGTCATAATGAATTGCACTTTTCCTCCTGCGCCTCTCGTCTTTCCTCCCTTTCTTTTTCCTGATTTGAGTGGCTTCTCGTCCTCCATCCATCCATCCATCCATCCATCCATCCATCCATCTCAGTCTGCCGTCTACTTGTCCTCCACCCATCCCTTCTTCATTTTCCACCAATAGTCCTCATAATTTGGCAGCTAATGGTCGAATTCTGTCAAATCTAACTTCTCCTTCCTTCATGTTTAATAGTGCTTTTTTTCCCAAACAATAAGCACATATTACAGCTTTATCTGTTTGATCCTAACTCCTCCTCCTCCTCCTCCTCCTCCTCCTCTCCATCATCCTCTCCTCACAGCGTTGCGGTGAATTTCACTTTTCTGACACTTTTACGTTCTTCTCCATCTTTTTTTTTGCCTCACTTTTATCGCCTAAAACTCCAAATGTTGGTTATTATTATTTTTAACTTTCCGTCCACCTTACCGACATACATGACCCCCTCCTTGGTCTTGGCGGCGGCCTCCTCCATCCCGGCCTTCGTCTTCTCGGCGGCGGCGACCACTCCGCCCTTGGCAGCGCTGAATCCCTTCATCAGACTGTTCATGATGCTTCCTTCTTCTTCTTCTTCTTCTTCTTCTTTTCTGCTGCTGCTGCTGCTCCGTCTGCCTCGGCCGTCTCGTCTCTTCTCGTCTGCCGGCGATCCGTTCTTCTTGCTAATGGATGAGAGGAGATGGGTGGAGAGAGGGCACGTGAGACAGAGAGAGAGAGAGAGAGAGAGAGAGCTGTTACGAGAAAGGGAGGGAGGGTAATAAATAGAAGCGACTTGGGACGAGTGTTGTGCAGCAGAGCAGGCGAAGAGGTGGAGACAAGAAGGAAAACATGGAGGAGGACGCAAAGCACTTTGTTCAGAGTGCAAACACACAAAGTCTTTCTCAGTGTGTGTCCGTCCACAACCAGTGTGTCATCAGGACAAGTGTTGTGGTTTTTTGTTTTGTTTTTAAATTTCATGGAAACTGCAAAATCTGGAAAACCTTGGAACTGAATTTTGTCATGAGCAGTTTAAAGAACAATTACAGGGAAAATAAAGTTTTAATTTACACATAACCTGTTAAAAAGAAGCCAAAAATGTAAATAATATCCACATTTTAAACAGAAAGTATATTTAGATATGATGATTTGCTCCTCTACAATGTTTAGATCAGGATTTAATGGTTTTTACTTTTGTTTGACAGATTTTCCCTCTTTTGTTAAATTAAAGACGCTAACAAGTATAATCACAGAAAAAAATAAAATAAAATTTACACATTAAACATTAAAACAAACCAAAATTTTATTGTCCACGTCAGACATCTGAACTTTTATTAATACTGATTCATTTTTTTTGCAACATTTGATCATTAAATTACACTTTTACTGTATTTAAATAAACATTTTATGGTTATTTGCCAAAAGATTGAAAAAAAAAAGATGCATATTAAGGATTCAAAAATGTGTTTTCCAGATTTTATTTTGAAAATTAGTTTTCTCTGTTTTGTTAAATTGTATATATCTAGTAAAATGATGGGAAAAAATTAATTAATTTACATGTTGATCGTAAAACCAAAACAAGCAGTTTTGCACAGAAGATGCACAAATAGATGCAAAACCACAACAACAAAATGACCACGAATTCATAATAAATTACTACAAACAAGACATCTAAAATGAGTTTTTTGTCTCTTTGTGCTTAATTGATGCAGTTTTGCATTTATTTAGCACCTGTTTGCATGCATTTGTACCATTTTGTGCATAACTAGCATGAGTAGGTGTAAAAGTGCAACAAAACAATCACATATCAACCACTTTTATGTTCATTTGCAGCAGTTTGAGCTCAGTTGTGGCACTTTTGTTTGCATTTGTGACCAATTCATGCATATTAGTTGAAGTATTGCACCTACTTTCCATCGTTTTGCAATTATTTGTTGCAGTTTTGCATAAGAGTGCTATGAATTGGAGCAAAACTGTAACTAATATGAACAAAATGACCACAAATAAACCAAACTGTGACAGAAGCCACATAACAGGCTGTTGGCTTGAAGGCAAAACTCTGCAAATCGGTGCAAAACTGATCATTTTGTAGTTTTTGATGTTTTGTACTCAGCTTCCTCTTTACAACGATAGTCTGGTACGACGCCTGCATTTCCATCGATGCTGCATCGATTCGTCCGTCCATCAAAGATCTCGAGCTTAGCGTGTGAAGAGCTAGCAGGAATAAAGAGCGTGTAATCAACCCCGTAACAACGCTAAGCCATGTGAGTCGGTGCTCGTCAGATGAAACAGTGCGATCCATAATTTATCACACAATCTTTGTTCACTGAAACAAAGACGCTGGTGTCACCAGATCAACCCAATTAGCCAGAAGAAGCACGCACACAGCAGGGAGGCTGCGTTTAAAGGAAGCTTTGAGCTAAAAATAAAGCTAGCGTCGTCTTTCTCTCTGTGTCCTCGTCTCACCGTTAAAGAAAACGGAGCAGGAGGAGATGGAGGAGGACTTTCTTTAATCTGTTTGGAGTGTAGCAACATCAACACGGCCGCCCAGGCTCAGCAAACTGATGCTAAGCTATACAGTCAGAAGACAAAGAATGCAGCTGTAACACTGAGAAAAAGTCATCAAAGTCATTAGATGCACTGTAGGCATCAACAAGACAAATACACAGTTCCAAGTTGCTAGGTTTAGCCCGTTTAATGATCCATAAACTGAAGTTAGTTAGCAGTCGCTACTGTAGCAAGCTATGCTAACATGTACTGTCTTGTAACTCTGCTTTTGGTCTCCACCACCTTATGAGGGAAATATTCAGCTCTTTAACTTCTGCAGGACCAGAAAATGTTTAAATTTTTAAAGGGGATGATTCATTTTTTTCCTTCCCTGCCATGGATGCACACTGGAAGCTAAGCTAAGCTAGCAGCTTCTATGACCTAAATGGGGCTTCACTGCACTGACAAGCAGACAAGTTAAGCTAGATCAACATGGGAAAAGTAGTTTACTACATCAGACGTAGCCGTAAATAAGCTGGTGTTTGCAGAATCTATAGATTGGTGTGTGATGTCGTATGTCCGGTGGTGATGTCATGTTTCGCAGCTTATTTCCAAATCCACCAATTACGTAGCAGCTTCATCATCACTTGAGTTCATGTTCGTGTCCACCTGATGAATCCAAGTCTAACACTCTCTTAGCTCTTTTTTCAGTCTGTGCCATCACCTGAGGTAAATATTCGTCTCTCTGGCAGCTAAGTTCTCCAGTGTTTGATCAAATACATAACTAGCTCAGTTTTCTCGTCTCCTTTATCTCCATGTTTGGTCTCCACCCCCTCCAGAGGTAGATATCAGGCTCTTTAGCAGAAAAACGCTCTATGTTTGATAAAATAGAGGTCTAGTCCATTTTTCTGTCTCTTTTAGCTCCATGTTTGGTCTCCACCATCTACACACTGGAAGCTAGCTGAGCAGCTGCCAACATAACGGCGAGCGTGCATCATGTGACTACAGCTGCAGCAACACGGTTTGTCCACTAGGACGTCCGGGCTGCACCGCCCGGCGCTGCTCCTGATCACGGACCAATATGGAGGACAGAGGAAACGATAAAGGACGACTCGAGTCATCGTCCTCCCTCCCAACCTGAATGTGACTCAGCAAAAAACACACACAAACACACACTCAGCGCTCGCCCTCGGCTGCCTCACCCCTCCTCTGATTGGCCGACGCCCGGCGCCGATCTATTTTTAGACCCGTTTTATTTCATCATCTTCCAGGACGCCTTAGTACCAACATTATGGGCTGCTGTGGGATGCCGTGGCGACGAGAGCCGTCCCCCCACCAGCACTGATCAATACTGACCACCAGCACACACTCTGTCCATCATACAGCAACAGATATTGATTTTCAGAGAGAATTAGCCGATAGCAGCACAAACACTCCCACTGATATTAATCCTTGCAAGGAAATTTAACCACCAAGAAGCAACATGTCTGGTAAACAGAAAAAAAAAAAGAAAGTGCTGCAATGCAAAATAAACTAATAGAAATTCCCCTTCCTCTTATGTTTCTCATAACTGTGGCACTAAATTTGATTTAAAGGCGATGACAACTATGACCATTAACTAAAAGAGCAACAAGAAACATTTTCACTCCAAGTACGAGACGATAAAACCTCCAATTTATTAATTTTTCATCAAAACATGACCCTATTTATACGTCTACATTTAATTTTCTCTCTGAAGCCCAACTGGTTTCTGGCTGTTTTTTGCTCTTGTCACATTTTGATTCACTGCGAGCTAATTTTCCACAAGTTTTCTTCTAACAAGCTGACGGGCTGACAAACGAATGTGCCAACCAGCAAACACGGTAACAAGCTAATGGACTAACAAGCTAACAAGCTAACTGACTAAAAAGCTAATGTGCTAATAAGTTTAACAGAATAACAAGCTAACGGACAAACAAACTAGAGGACTAACAAGGTACCATTCAACAAGCTAATGAAACATACAGGTAACAGCATGAGAATCTAACACACTAACAAGCTAAGATGCTAATGGACTAGCAATTTAACAGGTTAACAAGCCAAGGGAATAATAGCCTATCAAGCTAACAGGCTAGCACACCAACAGTATAACATACAAACAGCCTAACAAATTAGCAGGGTGACAGGCTAACAAGCTAACGGAGTAACAACCTAACAGGATAGAAGCTTATGGACATAAAGGGTAACAGGTTAACTAGCTAACAATGTAATGGACTGATAAGCTAATATGGTAACAAGCTAGCAGACTAACTGACTAAAAAGCTAATGTGCTAACAAGTTAACAGAGTAACAAATAAACAGGCTAACAAACTAGCATTCAGCAAGCTAATGAACCATAAAGCTAACAATCTGAGAATCTAACACTGACAACCGAAGATGCAAATGAACTAGCAATTTAACAGGTTAACAAGCTAAGAAAATATTTGCCTAACAAGCTAGCAGGCTAGCAGGGTGATAGGCTAACAAGTTTGTGGAGTAACAACCTAACTGGATAAAAGCTTTTGGACGTAAAGGTAACAGGTTAACTAGCTAACAGGCTAAGAGGACAACAAGCTAACATGCTAACAATGTAATGGACTGATAAGCTAATATGGTAACAAGCTAGCAGGGTAGCATCTTCCATAGGTTTCCTGAAGAGTGGTCCTATGATGGGTCCTTAAAGATAACTTTAAACATTAATACAATTAAAACAGGTGAATTAATTCAAAATTCATCTCCGATATCTTCGTCATGAACTGGAAACGTCTCTGTTTAGACCAAAACCATTTTTTGTACCAGGCTGTAAACATGTTTATTTCTGCTGTAAAGTTGGACATTTTAACATCGTGGTCTGTGACGACTGAATCAGCTTTGAAGCCTCGAGTGGACATTTGAGGAACTGCAGTGTTGAGCTTTTAATTCAGGGGCCACAGAAAGGTGTTAAATTAATGTATAGGATATTCTACAAGCAAAAGTAGAAGTATTTCAGGACCTTCTGATTGTTAGTTAAATAAAAATTAAAGGTCAGATTAAAGTTTTTTGTCTGTCCTGAATGCAGCACAGTTAAAGGAGGGAAATATTTTTGTCTGAAATTGTGATTTTTAAATAACGCAGAGTAAAAAAAAGACCTCATATTGTATTATAGCGCGCCTC